AGCATAAGCTGGGCGTAAGGAAGTTGGGCTGAAATCCGGACGTAGCAATCCATGCTGTAGAAAGGGTCACAACTTTAACTTTGACGCCGTCGAAATTGTGGGCGGAGGTGATGATCACACATCAAGGCAGATCAAAGAAGCCTGGATGTCGACCGACTGTTCAGTCAACTGCTACATAAAGTTACCGGTCCTCTATGTCGTTTTAAGGCCCTTCTTATCCGTATCTACCGGAAAAGCTTAATTTTGACGAAATTTGCGAGCACAGAAATAACCCTAAGGGCCCAATTAGTGATGGCTGATGTGGCCGTTTTCAGCTGGCGTGGTCCATTTCCGTTGGGTTTGAAGAAATATTTTAAGATAAGTAAGTAAAGTAGGTAATGATATATTATGAGGACAGCGGATACTTCTAACGTCAGTCTGCGGGCCTGATAAAACATTTATTGACCCCCGCGTGAAGGGAATTGCCTGGTGAACGGAAGTCTGCAAATCGTGGACAACACACATTGTAGGACTGTAGCCAAAACTAATGCAAACTTGCTTTGAATTCAAAAATATATTTGATATCCACCGTAATTAAGCGTAATTAGTGCCCAAATGCCGTTTCACGCTAATAGGGTCTGCAAAAGATACTTTTGGATAGACATTTGCCCCAATAACCAAGGATTTCTGATGGTACTGAAACATCGGTTATCCTGGAAATTTACCGATTTAAGTATAAGGTTTAAAGCGCAAAGCCACTAAAAACATTTCCTGCTTTCAAAAACAACTAGTATAAAATCGATTAGCGTCCTTTTTAGGAACTTTGCACAAGGAGATGTAAACGGATGCATAAAAAGTCCTTATTGCAGTCAGCTAATCAAACACGGAAACGGGAGTTGCACTGAGGGATATAAACGCTGGAAATTGCATAATCAAGAACAACCTTCAGAAATAGAGGCTCATTCGCATTTTCGTGAACAACCAAATAGTGCGTTGATTCACAAGGAGAGAGGGCGTTTCGGATAGTTATCTCGTCTATCTAGAGAGTCAATACTCTGGCCCCTGGCTCTCGTTAGATGCCGCTGCTTTCGTCCGCGTGCGTAGTCTGCCAATCCAATGTGAGTCCCTCGCGTCTCTAGGTGGTAACCGCTCGCCGTACCAGCCGTCTGGTAACTGTCCCCCGCGCTCTACTCTACATTGAGACTGTCTGTAACTTGCGTGCTTATTTTGCTTCCCCCCGCCTCGCCGTAACCTGTCACCTGGATACGTTGGTTGGGCGGATCACTGGTTGAGGGCTCCAATTGTTCCATGTCGTGATCCTCCTTTGATAAGAATGTTCTTGAGAAGAAGACAACTCGATCGCTGGGACATTCTTCGCAGATGTCAAAACGCCAAGCGAAGAAAAGTATTGGTCTAGCGATCGGGTCGTCTTCTTCTCAATTACTTCCTGGGACTCGCATTTGCGCTTGTATTGGCAATATAGGAGTTTTTGCTGAATATTTTGGGATGACTATTTCAAAATAGGTCTTAGGCTCCCGATGTCTCAATATATTCGGTTTTGCTCAATGTAACGAGTACAGTTAGCGCATGCTATCTACAATGGAATTTTGATATAAAAGTACAATGGAAGGCGCATTTCTGTTATCTTACTCGACTACCTAAGCATGAATTGCTGATGTCGGACACACCGCGGTAAACAAGAAATTACTTGTGGTAGACGTTGGCGATTAACAAATGTTCTGTGAAGTTTCACAATCGCATCTGCAACGCTTAATATAGTACATGGGCAAAGCGAAAATTGGATGAAGGGTACATCCTGCGAGGAATTTGCAGATCTTTTTTTGTTTTACAAATATTATATACTTTTATTTTTCGCAACACCGACAGATTTGACTCGTAAACCTGCAGTTTTCAGTACAGTCAAGACGTCAGTACAATCATGAGATGTCTGCGTCAACTGTGCATACTAAACAAAATACTGTCCGCTGAGCCCTCGATCATATTTGCAAATCGCTATGTAAATGGAGTCTGATGAAAATGTCAAGGTTCGATGCTAGTTAGGCACTCAGGCTATTCCAAGTCAGGTCAATTATGCTTTAAAAGTTGTTCGGTGTTTTGACAACCTTAGTCGTAAGTTTTATTTTACGCTATATTCTATGATTAAGGTAGGATTATGCTTGCTGTGTAGTAATCTAGGCAACGAATAATCACATGAATTGAGGCAAATGCTCCTATCCCAGGTATGTGTATAGCTAAAGCAGACTAATCTAAAGACTAGCCTCGTCATTAATAACAACATTTAGTCATTTCTCGTATTCTGATGAATATTTAAAAGTTGTAAGTTTCCTTGTGACTAATCATAAATAATTAAGGCAACCGTACGTCATATGTTCTTAGAATCATGTTTGTACCAATGTGAAAATACCGAGAACCCCTAATATCTTGTTAAGAGTGGATCCAAATTAGATGGAAAACAACAAGGCAAAATAATGCCACCTAAACGTTTATATATATAAGCTAAATCGATTCAACGACATATTCCATCAAAATAAATTGAGGCTCTTGTGAGAACGCTGAATATTCATAAAAGATCGCCTCGAAAGTCATACCGGGTTTGCAATGACGATACCTGCCAATAGGTTTTAATATTAAGGCCACCACAGACAAACAAGATCTCAACTTCTTTAATGCTTAATCGTAAATAATGAAAGAGTCCCACTTCCGCTCTATGTAAAATCAATTTTTGTGTCAATGTGTACAATTTCGAGACCACTCAGTGGCCAAAGCAAAGTATTCACTCTTATGTTAACAATTCACCCTTAGTAGAAAGAAAACAAAAATGTAAGCATAATGCCAACTCATCACTCATATATTTAAATCGATTCAACGAAGAAAAAAGCATGATGCTTTTGCGAGAACGTTAATTGCTGATCAAAGATCACATCGAAAGTCCCCTCAGATTTACAATAGCAATGAGTCCAAAAACGTTTCGAATTTAAGGCCATCCTGGGCAGTGTTATAAATTAAATGAGTGTTCAAGGAGGTCTTCTGTGGCGTTCAAATGTGGATGCCAAATGTAAGAATTGTTATTTTAATATTCTGTGCCAATGGATTGTGTTACATAAGCGGTCAACTGACAGTAAATGTGTGCAACAACAAACTTGTTTCGGGTCAGGTTTCCTCGCAGTTTGTGCCTGATATGAACAACACAGAAATTCACATCTCCCAAGGTCTCATTACATCTTGCGTATAATAATTCACTTTCTCAGATGTTTTGGAACATCCTCCATTGAAATAGTGCAGCCTCATCGAGAGAGGTCTCCAACGTCCGCCAATTTTTTCCCACTGATTTTATTTTGTATTGATTCAATTGCGACGAAGATCAGCGACCGCATCGCAGGGATATGGAAAAAGAGGATAAGTGGTACCAACGCGGTAGACAGGCTTGTCAATGTCACACTGAACTGTTGAGCTGGACTGCGCAGCTTATACGTGAAAACACCAGCCGCACTCAGCAATTGTTGAATGGACTCAAAGCTTGTGCCCGCTATGAAGGCAGCAGTTAGAGGTATGATACAACAGGAAGCCGACCAGGCATGACGAACAGATTTATTAGCCAATCTCTCAAGGGTCCCAGCGCTATTACTTTCACAGTCACGAATGTCACGTTCAGCTGAAGATGACCCTGACTGTACAGATGGGGTGCTGGTTGTGGTGCTAGTTGCGGATGCTGGCAATGACTGCGATTTTGGAAAGTAGGATTCATCAAGTTCATCTGTAATAAAACCCCTTTCTGATTTCCGCAATCGCAGAATCAAAGCAGTGCAGATACAGAGACAAATTACCGGATAAATGAATCCAAAAAGCATGACCGAGAGAAACGCGTGAGCATACAGCAATGTGAGAATGGTAAAGTTCTCAGGCAGTGGAGCACATGCACAATTCTTTGTATTTGGATGCGTCATTAGTAGCAGAGGCAACGCCCCAATGAAACTGAAAATAAAGACCAGCAGGAGGTAGGCAGTGAGACGCTGTTTCTCCGTGGTAATGGGATAATTGTTCATTTGCAGCATCTCGGAGGCCCTGTTACAGACGAAGAAGTAAAGGCTGTGGCAGATTTGACAGTAAGTGTACCAGAAGGGAAAACGAGTGGTCCATAAAGTGCAGATGAGGCCGTCCACGTAATGGTTGCCGGTGTTGGGGTTATGGAAGCCAACTTTTTCCATAAAGTTTATGACCGTGAAAGCTAAGCAACTGGAAGAGAGGACTCGCAAAAGGATCAGGCCTTCGGACTTCTTACAGCGAAGGCAGAAGAGAAGAACAGTAACAGTGAGATTTGCCAAGCAGCCGAAGCTGTTTAGCACAATTGCGCAAATATCTAGGACGCTTGCGCAGTTATAGACTGGACCACAATTACTGACGTCAAACATCATCTTTGAATTTGCAGCCTACGTCGACAGTGGACTTTTGAGGTAAGTGATTATTTGAGATAGACCAGCAAAATTCAAGACTGATACAGGCGATTTGTTTAACCAATCAGAATACGAGACCGACACGCACACAGCCAAATAACGGGAATTTCCACTTCAATTTATCAGGCTACTTGGCTTAAAGGGGGGCGTTCTTGTTAGTCAACATATCGGGCTCTTTGTAGGTAACTTTTTAAATAACTGCGATTGAATGCATTTTAATTGTCGATAAATGGTTATTTTATTATTCATCGACTGTTTTTGCTGAACACTTTCCACGTTTTAAAGTTAATACTAAATGTATGTCAGCGATCGTATAACCGTAGAACGTAAAACATTCACCTGCGTTATGAAGAATGCCCGAACCTAATAAATTATTAGCGTGTAATGCAAGTAATTAGGCAGAAAGGTACGCATTGATAAGCTTTCTTAATCGATGCAACCGAATAAAGTGTAATGATTGAAATATTTCTGCATTCGTTTAAGTTCGCGAACTAATTTTATTCATGCCACAACTCTTATGATGAACCGATCATCTTTTTTTAATATGCAAACACATATGGTTTTTTAAATACGTATTAAATAGACTAGGTTGTTGTTAAATAGACAACTATTGAAACATAAAAATTTTGAAATATTTCGGCATATATGCGTGACCAAAATATCAGAGGATTCTGTTATACATCAGCCAATATCACAATTTAGTTTACATTTTCTAATCAAAAAGATCCTACAACATTTCGTTTAACGGTTCAAGAGGTAGCCCATATGTTATGTTTTTTTGTGGCACAAGGCAATATAGACGACCTCTAGTAATGAATTTAGTATTGCGGAAGACTTCACCCAGCCACATAAACATCTGTTATAAATTTATCCGGTAAACTAACCCTTAACGATAAAATATTCGTTAACCTAAAAGTCCTTTTATGTCTTATCACCCTCAAGTCAATTCATCTATTGAAAAGTCAGCTCGACTCCGTACCTAAACGTTGCACTATACCCTTCGTACTGCAATGTTACAAAATATTTCCATCCAATAAGGGAAAAGAGATTAAGTTTTAAAGCAACGTTTACAAATGCTCAAAGATTGCTAATGGAACTTACTCGCTTCGCTCCGCTTTGGGGCCCACTCTCGAGCCCCGCAGCGGCCAAGCAGTGGCTAGTATTTTGGACATATGCAAATTGGCGACAGGCATAAAAGAAACTGGAATGGCCATTTCTGGCATATTAGCAGTCATCTTTCCGTCATATTCCACCACTCTTTTTTCGCCACCCAAGATTTGACCCCACGATATTTCGACCAATATTCAAAACACTGCGACAACGTTTTAACTGGTCCATCTTCTCATTGCACACTCTCTTGTATGCAAGTGCAACTTTTTTGCCTCGTATTGCATGGGTAGACCTACACTGCGGTAATTTGGGTTGGCAGGTGATTTCAAGAACTCGATGGCTTCCGTCGACAGTTTGCTGTCAGCTCCGCCTATCACTTGGGCACCAAAAAGTCGATCTGATGTTCGTTTTCTTGACTGTGCACGGCAACGTACCCTTAGATTCCCTTCTGCCAGTTTTGTAACTTGGATGTCATGGAAGAGCAACTATTTTTTGACTTCTTCTTTCATGGTAAACTGGATGTCGGGAAAGTTGGTTTTGTTAAAGGTTGGTGCTTAAACTCTGGGTTCGTTCCATTAGCTCTACCGACTCAATATTCAATTTACATCAACCTCAAAGAAGCCTGGAAATGACGGCAACCAACAAAGCCTGCTATTGATCAAAGCATTATTGATTTTTCGGTATGTTTAACTTCTGTACTGCTCTACATACATTTCCCGCACGTCCGACGACGGCCTGGTATGGCAGTGTCGTACATTTGCAATAAAGTTTTTTCACGTTTCCGAAGGAATTTATTCTAACTTCTTATAAATATAGTTTACCCGGTCCGGCTACAAGTTTGTTTGCAGTCCGAAAAGTTTTCTCGTGTATGCTGAGCTCCTTAGTCAACCAGAGTCTCCATATTTGGGTAGAAATCTTTCGGAGTGACTGCACTAGAGTTTGAAAGGCCTTAGAAAAGCAGTATTTATCGAAGGACGAGAATGCCCCTTTGCCGAAGTGCATGACTGACATCGAGGTTTTGGCTACCTCAAGCAGTCTAGCGAAGGTTGAAGTGGCTTCTCTGTCCACACACTTAAAGCCTTCTAAGTCCCAGTTAGCTGCAGTGATATGCCATTAAGGCATTAAAGCCTGCATTTTACTGATTTGGTTCCGTCGACTCGAAGAAAGTAACAGACGTTCACATCTAACGACATAACGTAATCATCATAATATTGATCGGCACTGATGTACCTTGCGGTCCATTGTATCCATTTAATCATCGGCGTCAACTAGAATTAAGCAAATTTGCCAAACCTCCTAATAATTAAGTCAGCCTAGTAGTCATTCTGGTTGATTCTAGATGATTGCTTAGAAAATCCCGCTTGGGCAGTCAACTTGCTGTCCCGTATTGGTGAATTCCATACGAGCGACGAAGTTGGGCAGGTAAAATCGATCCAAGTGTGATTAAACTCACGGTGTGAAGCGTGGCATTTGTAACTTAATGGTAGAGCATTGGCTTCCGGTTAAGGCCTTCCCTTCTATGCGGGTTCAAATTCTGCCAAATGCTGCGAGTTTTTTCACATTTAGGTCAACTAGAATACGGACATAAGCCAAATTCTTCTACCGTGCGTAAACGTTTATAAATGAAAACGATAGGAACGCTTAGACAAGGTTCAAATTATGATAGATTATTGTTACCCTGGTGAGTTACTTATAAATAGTTGCATTTTAATCCCCATTGCTCATTATTAACGGAGAATTTCTCTTGTGGAGCGAATGCGTAACAAAATAATTGTGATCATTCCAGTATCATAGTTCGCAACTAGGTAATACTATCCACATCTTAGCCTGTAGTCACATTGTGACAGGAACGATTTTACCGTATGAAACTTTCCAAATCGAGAGGAGAAATTATAATCACCGGAAAAATCTGCATTGTACTACGAAGATATATAGGATGCCCAAAAAATATATGCACATTTTAAATAATTGTAAACTTTGTGTTTAACATAATTTGTTACTTCGAAATTGTAAAATAGTTATAGGTATCATATTATGGTTTTTCACTGTATTTTGACTATTGCAGCATTGGCTGAATTTAGAGAAGCCATTGAACATGAATGCATTAGAATACGAAGGGATTTGTTTCATGGTGTGTGCGATTCAATTCCTTCGCGTTATCAGCAGCGTCATGATCAAAACGAATGTCAGTTTGAGAACATTTAGTGCAAAATAACCAAATGATACTTGTAAGCATTTTTACATTTTTTAATCATAAAATTAGGAAAATCGCCTAATCTAAAAGCATGTAAAGTGCGTATACGTTTTTCTGGAACATCATTTAGTGGTCAGTCAACATTCTTTTCCACGCTTTTTTCTTCTAGCACTACACATCTGCTTTTATGTAAAAAAGACAGATAGCGAAAGCTGGTAAGTCCTACTTCCTACAGCGTAATCAGTTTATATACAATAGTGAATGCCGAAAGATTCGGGGTC